ACTATACGATAGCACCAGACGCGCCCCCGCCTTCCTTGTTCAAATAGTTCAAGAGTTAAGTGGCGTAGCGAAAGAAAGTTTGTGGGGGAGATTTTCCTTGATCTCTATGACCTCTCCGATATGTGCGATGAGCAGCATCTTCACACCAAAGTAGCAGACATTTTTGCAAAAGATGATGTTTATGACCCCCTAGGCATAAAGGAACGGGAGCATAAAGCGAAGGCGCTAGCCGCGATGGTAGGAGCTTGACTGATGAGTTGGGTCCTAAATGACTCAGTACTAAGTGCTGTACTCTGTTATCTTCCCGAACTCAAAGACCTAAAACCAGTAATATGTCTGCCGAAGTCAAAGAACTACGTATTGACTTGATCCCATCGGGCACATAGGCGGCTGGGAAAGGCCAGCTTCAGTCATATGTAGTATCGAAAGGAATGAAATTAGAGCTAGCCTCAGCTCAGCGACTAGCAGCCATATTCAGTTAGCTACTTCACTCAGGATTGAAAATGAAAACCGAGCTTGTCCTAACCCCAAAGGCAAGGCAATGAAATTGTCTTAGGACCCTGACTCAGTTAGTTTGGTTTCTGGGATTGGAGGTGTGTTCTCAGTCTCTTCTGCTTGGAATGCGTTCAGAACTGCTCAGCCTAATGTTTTTTGGGATAAGTTGGTGTGGCACTCTACGGCTATTCCTAGACATGCCTTCATTCTTTGGCTTGCTATTAAGAATAAGAACGGCCTGGCCATTCAGGATAAACTTCAAAGGTCTCATTTCTCAGGCTAAGTGTTTGATGTGTAATGACCCTATTGAAACCATTGATCACCTCTTCTTTTCTTGCCCGGTGGCTAAAGGAGTATGGGCTACGGTCTATAACCAATGCTGCCTTAACTGGTCCCCGGGGTGTTGGGAGAGTGAGCTTTTGTGGGCTGCTAATCAGTTTAAAGGCAAAGGCTTCTGGTTAGGAAAATTGCGTGGGGTGCTACCATATTTGGAGAGAGAGAAATGCCCGCTTGTATAAGACTGAATACAAATGCAAGGAAGAGGTTCTTAAAGCTATAAAGGATGATGTGAGATTTCGATGTGCCTCCACTCCTAGCATTCGAGATGATCCCACCAACAGAGAGATTTGTTGGAATATTCCTTTTTCTCTTTTTGGCTTTCATGGTGCTTGAGTTCTTGCTTTGGCTTAATTGTGGTGTAGGGTGGCTGCGGGTCTATTGTCAGATCTCTTATTGAGCAGTTGAGGGAACTTGTTTGGGGCTCTTTGCTATGATATTTTCTTGCTTCAGATGGTGGCCGTGAGGTGGCAGTAGACCAGTAAGAATCCGGGAATGTCACACAACAACTGCTACCTCAAGTGCAGGCAAGATTGCTTCAGAACAAGTGTATATATTACGGGAATCATCCTCTGGTCGTCGTGTGAAGCAAATAGCCAGCAAGCCAAAAAGTCTGGCTGTTACAGTACCCAGAGACTCTGGTGATGAGGAGAAAAATCAAAGTCAAGCACAGAGGCACTATGGAGAGAAAGGGGGAAAACATCCTTGGCCTTGGTGGAATGTCCCCAGCCAGAGAAAAGCTGTGACTGGCTTGCTTGAGGGGTGGTAGTGAACTCGGGAAGCAAGCAGAGACTACAAGTGCGAACTCATAACACTTGGAAGAATGGACTGCACTTATGGAAAAGAATAGAGAGAGAACTCAAAAGAGACTGAAAAGGAAAAAGATAGTGAAAATTATGGTGAGGGTCAATGTAATTGAGAAAGTGCAAGCTTATTTCGAGATCAAGTTCCGGTCCCAGAGCAAGGGCAAGCTAAGTCATTGGAAAACCGAAAAAGGGCTGGCACGCGAATAGGCCCCGCCCTGCCGATAAGCTTTAGGAGGAGTCAGTATAGGCGATGTTCTCCTAACGACGGATGGGTCCCCACGCTAAGACTTGGCACTTGGCTACTTCGCGTGGATCACTCACCTCTCAACGTTCTTTCATGATGATCGAAGCATTCTTGACTTCACTGCGCTTCGCTTCGTTCGTTGGGTAAGGAAAGGGGATTCAATATCATGGATGCGACAATCTAATGCTATTCCTTAGACACAGAGGTGGGATTAACGCGGAATGCGGAACTCCAACAACATAGACCGGATGGAATATATAACGGAGGTTGAAGAGCCTGATCCTGGAGCTGAGCAACCATGGGCGCGATCCACATCGAGTGGAACTACTATATCTGTCGAAGGTTGAACCTTCACCGAATCTTAGGTGGCACCCATTCCGCAGTGGGCGGACTAGACACTGCTGCTTCAATAGCTAGCGGGTAATAATCCGAAAGTCAATCATCAACCCACTCGAAGCCGCTCATGCAACAACGTTTAAGTAAATCCTTCCGCCCTTTAGTATTAGTATAGTAGGTAGTAGGAGGAAATGCGCCTTGAACACATGTAGTATACTAGCTGAGCTTCGTCCCTAATCGTGACTAGTTGTTATTCGTTTCGATCAATTGTCCCCCCAGCCGGCAATGCCTCAGCTTCAAAAAAGATAGGAAGTTCGTTCTCCTAAAAAAAACTCATTATTATTCAAAGATAAACGCGCTACTAAACTGATAAGGGAAGCCACTTTTCTTGGTTGAAAGGCAGAAAGAGGAAAACAAAAAAAAGAGAGATCAGAAGTGGGTCCCGCGGGTAGTTTGTCTTGTTTAAGTCCGTACAAGAAGAGACTATAAGGGTTGCTCAAGAAGGGACGGACAAAGATGCTATCTATTGGTGGTACTAGTTCCGCGGGAGGGGCTGGATCTCGGTCCCGGAAGCATGGGTCCGGCTATCGATCACGAGGGTGACGATACGGGTCTCGATCGGGATAGGGTCTCAAACGAAAAAGTATGCTACATATGGAACTGCTCCAGCCACCTATGCTTATGTACCAACCTATGATTCTCTCGCGACTACTGCTACCTCTTAGTTCTTGAAAGGTATGGAACCGAACGAAAAGAAGCCGAGTCTAATGGATAATGGAACCGGATATGCAACTATATCTACTGGTCCTAGGTATGCTTTTGGAGCTGCTTCAAGCTCTCGACCTGGTTAAGATTAAGATGCCTATGATGCTGCTGGTACTTGTGATGCATCACCCATCCCGACGTATGGGTATGGTTTTGCTACTGTAGACTATGGCTCCGATCTACTGGTGCCCCCGCCTCCGCTTCTCCCGCTCATGGCCCTAGGTATGTACCCGGACGGGATACTAGTCTTGCTACTCCTGCTATGCTTATGGGTAAGAAAGTGGTGCTACTGAGATGTCTCTATCTGTACGAGATGCTACCCATGCTCCTATCTCCGCCCATGCCTTTGCCTTTACCATCGATGAGTATGGATCCTGCTCTTCGATGGTAAAGGCAACGTAAAGTATTTAAGGTGCTGGGTTCCGATCATCTGGAACAGGGTCTCTATCCGCAAATGAGTATACTTATGGAGTATTACAGTTATGCCTTTGCTTCTCCTGCACCTTAGGGATATGGGACTAACTATAGAACACCCGGTAGGACCATAGGCATGTGAAAAATCTCGAAGCATCACTTCTAGGAAGACGTCAAAATCTGGATCACTTGTTGGAACAGGTAGGGACGCTGGGCGGGGTGCCCTATGTTGTAAAGGGGAAAGCCAGATTGGGATCTGTTGTAGCAGGCTCGATAAAATTGACCCCACGGAGCGGTGGTTGTACCTTTGCTCTTACCGTCAGGTTCCACTTCATCGACTGGATTTTGATCCCTGGATATAGATCTGGATCAGGATCCCGCTCAATAAGATATGGATATGGATCTGTCTATGTACCAGAAGTTGGAAGACCTTGATGAGGGGTATGCTTCTAGGTCTCGATCACGAAGGTCCTAATCGTCGATAACGATCTATAAAGGCGACCACGATCACGAGAAGCATAAGCTCGATCGGGATCTATATATGCGACTTAGTCAACAGCTTTAACTGATGCTCGGCCGCTCACTATGCTCCCCATGCTACTCACTCTGCGTTGAGGTGCTGCGCCTCCACTGTCTCGGATGTTTCATTTGGGCCCGGGTATGAATCTGTATCCGCATAATTGACTGCTTCAACCACTCAATCAACTGGCTCTGCTACTTGCTCAGATCTTGCTTTGAAGGGAATAATGAAGAATTCATATGTTCCCAGTGCGAAGAATGCATCGTAACATAACAGATATGCATATTTCCCTCCCGGGGAAAAAGAGAATCTCAGTGATCCAACAATGGAGCCCACCAAGTGCTACGAGTGCTGCGTACTATAGAGAAAAATTCACATTTATCCTTTCCTAAACGAAAGAGAGATCGATTCCTTTCCCCTGATCTACGACCACCCTTACTGGGCCACAATACCTTTAGGATTTAGCCCATCAGGAGTTTGCACGGATTTGGCACTGGATTGTCCCCAGATCCTCATGATGAGGTGGCTGATTCACAACCCAATTCCCATATCGATCTTACGTAAACCCCCCACTCCCACTGCCTGTAGACGCCGCTGATCGTTTATTGGTTTCAGATGCAGCGGGCTAGGGCTCTGGATCCCTATTCTCTCTTAGAAAAAGAATCTGCCACTTAAGCACGCACGATCAGGGAGGTAAGAATTAGGATCTTTTTCTTAACGTTCTGGCTTGATGTAATTAACCTGCTGCATCTTGAACTGCTCGCGCAACTACTGCCTCCGCTTCTCTTGTCTCCGGTCTTGGATCACCTACTAACTACTGCGACTGGGTTTGAATCTCGATCAAGGACTGGATCCGCTGCTAGTGCTACCTCTGCTTCTCTCGTGACTGGTGCTGCTTCCCCCGCTAATAGAGTGAAATATTCTATGGAGTCCATATAGAATCTATGGATCCACAGGAGGAGCTGTTGGATATGGGTCCGGTGGAACCCTAACTTCTGCTTCTGCTAGTGGATTCGCAATTTCGTTGTTGGAACCGTGCAAGGTCCGGCGGCAAGCATAGGAGCTGAGGTCGAAAGCGAGGTGGAGTGAAGCAAGGTCGGCAACACTTAATCGGCTCAGGCGAGGGGAGTCTTACAGGGGTTATAAACTCATGTTTTCATATAGTCAGATATAGGCTTATAATTCAGGTGTTACGTGAATATGTCCTTATTCAACTACAGCTAAAAGAAGAGCTACGCCACACTCTTAGTAAAAGACTTGTAAAGCATTCCATACCAGAGAACCAGAAATAGCTTTTACCTAGATCATTTCCCTTTAAGGGGTTCTACTACTTATATTATATAAAGATAGGGCCAAAGTGAAGTGATTCAACTCAAGCACGAACCGCTACCTCCCCTTCCATCCTCTTCTCCGAGTTCAGCAGAAAAAATAGAAACTCGTTAGCTCATAACAGCGCATTTGTGAGCTCCAAGTCCCATCGCTCAATGCTGACCTGACATCTAATTGCCCTGGGGAAATGCTCCCAAGCTCCTCTTATATTAGTTAGACCTCTTTCTTTCAATTAGAGTGTAGCCTCTAAAAAGTACTTGAACGGATTGCAGTACATTGAAGATGAAGCTAGATGCGCGTGAGACCCCTGGGATTGCCCCATATGCTTCCATCGGTTCAATTTCTCCATCTCCACTGGTGGGATCAAAGCAAGACCACTCTTGGGGGGTCTGACCTGGCACCAAAAACATCCGGATGTTGATCTGGTCTATTCGATGGTCGGGGATTCTTAGGTGAGGTCACCGGTTCGGCCATTAGCAAGTACACCTCACCTCCTCTTTCTTCGTTTATCAGGTGGCTCCCTCCGTTTCCCTTTCGTTCCTCTTGCAAATCCCGTTGGTCGAGCCGTTCGAGCATCTTCAAACCGTAACTGATAAGATAAGTTATAAGTGTAGTAACCGCTTCGCTTCTTTACTTAAAATTACCGGAGGTAAATTACATCGAGCCTTAGCCACCTCCCATTTTCCCGATAAGAAAGAGAGAGATAGGAGTCCAGCTAAACCGGGATCGGAAGCATTTCTTCCTCCCCGACATTACCAGAAATGGAAAATCCTGACAAAAAGAAAATTTCTCAGTGCTGGGAGGTGTGTCATGGGTTTACACCGACAGGCACAGTGGGAGTAAATTGCATAAGAGAAGTCATACGAAGGGGTCTTTTTTACATTCATTCTCATCTATGGCTAAGAACCTGCACCTTGCTCGGGGCTCCCTTCAAGTGGATCCCTTTCTATCAGATTAAGAAGGAGCATACGAGAAATCATTACTCATTGCTGCTAGAGCCGTAGCCTATTCGTTAATTAGTTACATACACCCCTTTTCTTTTATGTAAGGGGAGGAAAAATGAATTTACTGCGTCCCTGTTCTGCATATTCTTTGTTTGTTACCAAGAGCTAGCTTATGGATCAGATATCGATATCTGAAGATCAGGCCCATCACTTCTTTTCTTGACTTCGAGGATTTGCCTGCAGGAGAATCATCGAAGGTTGGAGAAAGAGATAGAAAGCTGACTAGAGTAGGGGTTGAGGGGCTGTGTATATCTATTCCAATCGGGGTGATAGCTCGACTCTCTAACTCGGGATCGCCCTCTTTGTTAACCTGACTTTCCTAATTTCATAAACGAACTCAACTGTCTCGAGTGAAGGTCAATTATATCGAACCTTAACGAGTTTAGGAGCGAGCTCTACTTCCTTTTCTTACTTAGTCGTAGCAGTTATCAAAATCCAATAGTTGTAGCTTGCTTCTCGTATTAGGCTCGATGTAATTTACCTCTCCCTGCTTTATTCGATAAGGCGAGTTGCTTTGCTTCCTCTTCTTCCGGAGAGAAGGTCTTGGCATTGATCCCCACGGAGCGGTAAGGGCCTAGTTTGTTTGAGGGCTAAAGAGAACTAACTCACCACCGGTAATACACCAAGGAAAAGAGAAGATAGAGACTAGAGAAAGAGGTATTGGTTAATTCCAGAATAGGAATGAATATTAAGGCGCAAGGGCTTTCGCGCTAGGCGCTCAGTCCTTTTTTGTTCTCTCTTCATTCTTTCTTTAGATCTCCTTTTATGTTGATCCAGGAAAGGTTCAATCAAGGAAGGTGGCAAGCCTATTTAGGATGGAATTAATATCCTGAATTGGTGCTCAACAAGTGCTTTTTTTTTCCGGATAGCGTAGGGCCGGTATCCACTGGATGGCACAGATGCTAGCGTGATTGGGTATTGCACTCTGCTTATGATCGATGCGAGACATCTTTTTTGAATAGTATTGCGAAGAACTTGCCTAGGTTGGGAGACCCCAATGGTAGGGGAAGAAGTAAACCTTACCCGTGCTTGGCAACCCCAAGCATCCTACGAGGTATCCACTAGAAGGGTATAGTATCCCTTCAAAATAATAGGACTTACCATAAGCAAAGATGGAGATGCAATGATCCTGTTGGACTCCAGTCCAGCAACATTCTAAAAATAAAATGGGAATGACCCAACTTTAGAAGCGAAGTTCAGTCATAAATTGCACAAAGAGTCACGTTGGCTTATTGGAGATCCATCTGCTGTATATTTTTGGTTAGATGATTGGTTGGGCTACTGCATTGCGGATCACATTGGTATTCCACTACATCTATCTTCGTGTTCATTATTCGCAAAGAATTTATGATTATTTCTATGATGGCATCCAGATTCAAAAAGAAGCCAGCCCAGTTATCACGAAAGAGAGGAAATGGCGCTTTCAGAGGCCTACTCCCCCTCCGCTTCTATCCCTTGGACCTTTAGGGCTTCTTATTAAGGCATCCAGAAGATCTGCTTGGTGTGCAGCTAGGAAGCAGCTAATAAATGCATTCCTTCATGCTCAGAATCATAAGGCCGGGTAATGACCAATGAGGATCGATTCTCGTGCTATTCATCTCGAAGCACCCCTCTTAGAGCCCGAACAAATAGTTGGCAATAGCAATAGACCGGCTACTGATAGAAGAATGAGCCTTTAGGTTCTCTTCTTCTTCTCTTCGGGAGCGATTACTCCTTCCCTCCTAGTATAGCCCGCCCCTCAAAGGCTCCCGGTAGGAGTTGGGGATTTGATATGATGGGGTGAATGATGGAAGAATCAATCTCCGCCAACCAATAAGGCATTGTTTGAATGTCTGGATGGATTCCAGTCAGTGGTCGATCGACTTTGCTTCTCCCGCTCGTTCCCGTCCTATGTGATGCTCTCCCCCAAAGCTTCCAAATCCTTGCTTTAAAGAAATGAGATATACGACCTCGCATTGCCGGTTGACACATCCCAACTAGTAAGTTGGCCTGGGATTTTATCGGTCAACACAAAAGGTTACTCAGCCGTCTCACACGGTCTCGATAGCAAGGATCTTGAGAGAAAGAAGGAGCATGAACGCAGATTTTTTTTTCATTTCAACCTCAATTACATCGACCCAACGAACGAAGCGAAGCGAAGTGAAGTCATAGAAGTTTCTTCTATCTGTCCTACTTCACCTACTTGCCACCCTTCGTCCAATGCCTTCATCGAGCAAAGGAAGGCAATGATAAAAAAAGTGTTNAGAGTTGTTAATGGCGGGCTACGGTTTACCCTCTCCCGATATCGCTACTAAGTGTATGGATGCCCTAGATTACAAAGATATACGAGGGCTTCTTTCTTATGACTTCACTTCGCTTCGCTTCTAAAGTTGAGTCGGTATACTAATAGTTGTCTTTGTCTCTACCCTAGCGTCATTCGACCCTCCCAGGGGAGAAAAGAAAGGTAAATGCATTTTAAATGAATACCCGGTAGCTGTAGCAAAGGAAGAAAGCGTAGAGGCTCTGCCTGATCTGATCCCCGGAGATGGACCGACTTCTGACCCTGGCCCCAGCTTAACCACACTAATCTTTCTGAAGTCTAATTGGAAGACTGCTATTGAATCAGCGCTTTCAATGGTTCGCGACTCCACTGCTATTGATAAGGGCTGCGGGACTCTTGTTAGCCGCTTCTCCCGTCCAGGATTCAGCATTCTTGGATTAGGCCGGGCTTCTCTCTTTAAGCTTTAAGGCAGGGCGGCGGCATTGGTTGACTTTCTTTTGTTAGGAATCGATCCAGTTGCTTCTCCGCTCTTGCTGTATTAGGGTTCCAAACCTCCTTCCTCTTAGAGGAACTTGTCGCAGCTGTGACTACTCTTTCTATTTGAATTGAATGTCAGCGAATCACTTGTTTCACTAATGTGACTAGTCTTGACTGCTGGTTTTTTCTTTCTAATAAAGAATAAGATGACTGCGCATAAGGAATTAACCAAAGACGCCCGATGTAGAGGCAAGGCAATCAAGAAAGCCGCATAAGTCAATATGTAACCTACGGAAAAGTTGGCTAATCCAAACAATCTTATTTCCCCGATGGGATTCCCGCTTCGACCCCCCATTCCTCCAAGGATGTAATGCATAGATCATCCCAAGACTTCCAAGAAAAGTTGGACCAGACCCTAACGGACCCTTCGTATACTGAGTAAAGGTTCACCGATTTAGATAACGAAGCCACTGCCGCCCAATAGTAAGTACAAAGCAGGTGTCCAAAAAAAAAGTACTCCGCATGCGAGGCTCGATTACATTGACCTTAGCTAAGATCTCATCGCCTACAGCCTCTTCGCTTTATCTACATTTTCTCCGTCCTCTTCGTTGCGTAGCTATAAATACCCTTTGGTACTACTACTATTGGTATTGAATATCTCTTTTTCTTCTTAGCTACGCTTCTAGTTCTCCTATCGGCTAACGACTCTCTCAATTACATCGACCCAACTTTAGAAGCGAAGTGAAGGAAAGGTGTAATTGAGGACTTACTAGATGAAAGACCGTGATTGGTGAAGGGCGCCTAAGCGCCTTAGGTAGCTGCTATCTATCGGATCTTTTCTAAGAAGTTAGGTAGGTGGTTGAGTCGAAGCGTAGAAGGAGACTAAGTCATCGGTCGCGCCGGGATTGATTTCCTACTTCCAGCTGAATGAGGTCCACACAGCCGTAAACCCTGCTGGAAGTGCCTCGGAGATTGCCTGGTCTTTCGTTCGCTATTCGAATTCTGGACCAGTATAAATGTACGAAAGGTGGTCTTGTCCTTTTCTTTCCAACTAGTAGCTTCGTCGTTGATCTCTCCTCTTCCCGGGGCCGGCTGTGACTCCTATGTCCAGACAACGACTATCGATTCCTAACGAACCCATAGATTCTTCTACCATTCGACCAGATCCTCGTTATTGTATTCCAATTTTCCGGCCTCGAGCAACTTGACTAATAAGGGAAAAGCCCAACATTAAGAAAGGTTATTATTAGTATAAAAAAATTAGGTTGCTTTTCGAACAATTCGAATAGATAAAGTATGAGATGTATGTAAGGGCGAAATCTGAGATACGTTTTCATTTCCCTAGGATCGAGCGAGACGTTGTACCTTTCTTCAAAGAGTGCCCCTAGCTGCGATCCATGCACAAGAGGGTGTAGTATCGATAGTGGAAGGTTCTTTCTTTAGGAAGGAGATGGGCTTTCTTTTCTAGTCAGGGCTTGCACGGATTAGTTCATCTTTCCGTTCAATGGGGCTTGATCAATGGACGCGACGCTAGTTCCTAGCTCGTTGAGACCTGGGTAGGACTTTGGGGTGGGTGCGGCTCGTTTATTCCTCTCCTTTCAGTCTCGCCTAAAAGCCTTACGGAGACTATATTACTTACGCTATTAGTTGTTCTTCTAAATCTAACTTTAACTCCTCAAATTATTGACAATCAACAACAAACAACAATCAAGACAATTAAGAGGTTTCCGTTGCTTGCTTTGTGCGTACGATTAGATTATTCAATAATGTTCGGTATGAATGCCGCATTAAAAAAATAATCCCAAAGTTCACCATTTTTTCATGACTCCTTAGAGCTGAAATGGAGATGCTACCTAAATATATGGCTTTTGTTCCGCACTAGATGTTTTAGTTTGGCCCGACCTGAGATCCCTTCGAGTTCGCCTGCTAAAAGGAAAATAGAGGCCGCGTCGGTGGGTGTCAATAAATCTCGTAAATAATGTCAATTTCTTGAAAAAGCGGACCTTATTAAATCGGCAATCTTTCTTCTTTTAACAAAGAATCGAATTAGAATCATCAGACTTGTTGCTGGTAAGTTGCACAACCGGCCCTTGTGCCACAGTACAGTTCTCAGAAGGTCCAGAAGACTCGATTGCCAGTGCCAGGACAGACAAGAAGAACATTCATCAATGTCTCTCAAGTCCCCCTAATCCGATAAGCTCTTCAGTCGGTCCAAGCCGAAATCTCGTAGTGTAAAAGCTTTCTCAGTGCATCCAAGGGTAGACCCCCTATCTTCGTGCAAGGTTGATGGGTCCTATAGGCGAATAAGGTATTCCGCTAGGCTTTGACGAGCCCGTCGTTAGCCGCGAGAACCACTATCATTTCAACAGAAAGAGGGATTATCTTCAGGCCTCACAGGGGATGGCATATGCGTAGGTAGCTTTAAACCAAATCTCATAAGAAGAAAGTCATCAGGTTTGCAGTTGATCGACAAGGTGCGGGACGAGCCCTATTATTTTTTGCACCCTAATTCAATCCAATCCCGAATCTTTGAATACGACGGACAGAGCAGGGAAAAGGATTTGAAACCAGCTCTTCCAGGGCCCTTATAAGAGCACACACAGGCTTTTTACTATAATTATAAAACAATTATTTCAACTCCAGTCTGATTAATAGAAGCTGGCTGGGGATCAGAAGTGGCCTATGAATTTGTTGAATGGGATCCTCGTTTATTTTCTTCTTTTTACGGCCATGACCTTGACCTCCTCTTTCGGAGCCGTAAGCTGAGATTGATCTCTTCCCGTCTCTTCTTTGACTTTAATGGTATTATCCTCCTATCTCTCAGATAGGGTCTCTACAGGACTCTCTTACGTACAATGTAGCTACGCTGCGCGCCATGCCACCGTCAAATCCTACTGTTGGATAGCTTACCCTTGCCTATGACAAAAGGTAGCTCAGCTACTACATTAACTTACTCTTCGCTTTACCAACTACCATGTCAGCCTCTTCGCCGCGTAGCGGACAGTGCCCCTTCGACGCTATCGCGGCGTTACGCTTGTTCGCCTATTGGTGAACACGGATTAGAATAAGACTTTGAGAGATCGAAGGAAGGGCTGGCTGTCAGCGTCCAATTGGTAAAAAGACCTATAAATGCCGTATATAGAAGATAGATAATCGAACCTTTATTCGGGACGAGAACCGGGGCACGTTGCTACCTGTTATAAATCTCTAGTTTTGATGCTAGCACCCTACTCTTATAGCGATCATGACAGGACTCGAGACTTGATCTGAACAAGTCTTTCACAGCAACAAAAAAAGTAGGCTCGATGTAATTGACCAGGTAGACCCCTATATGACGTGCCAAAGATCTTCCAAACAAGCCCTCACGATATCTTTACTAAGCTTGGTAGCATAAATTCACCACTTTCAAGTGGGAAGAAGAAGACTCTGAAAATATATGCTGGCACCGACTCTTCCAAAGCCCCATTCAACGCTATCGCGGCTCACCAATAAATGCCCTTTGAGCCCTAAACATACTGCCTACCGGTGAAGCAGAATTAGGGGCTGTTCACTGCTGCATCGCTACTCAGTGGCACCTTCGTACAGTTTGGTGAACCGAAACCCATTGACGTGATTTGATATTTCAATTTCAGAAGTTGAATAGAGGAAACTCACACCGTAAAGCCGGACCGCCTTCACTCAATTCAATTAAATCAATCAAGTCAGTCTCGTTTAGATTCTAGCTGACCAACTCGGAGATATTAAGTAGGGATGGTCGATCAGCGAAAATCAGCATGACGGGTATAAGATGGCATTTTTGATTGCTATACTGATCTGTACACAGCCGAGTCGGGACCTAATCCTCGATGACGCAGCTGCTTTCTTTTCATTTGTCTTAATGGTACATTCGTATTCTAGTCGCCAGGGCTCGACAAGGCGATGCGTAGCCCGTTCCAACATTTGTTGTGTTGGCATCTTAACTGAACTTGTTCCTTTGGATATTAAGCCCTGCGCAACATCTTGATTGTATCGACATGATATTGAAAATTGTGGAAATATCATGACCAGCGGCAGCGGGAGTCAAAGCACCTAGATCGACGTCAGCTATGAATCAGTTATGAATATCATATAGAAGTCAAGCTCTTGACGAGATCTTGACAGTAGCAACTTCCCCGTCTTTAGCACGATTTGTTGTTATTCCTAGCAAGATGGGCGCACTCTCTACAAGACAAGACAAGGCCTGCTACGCCAAGACAATACGGGCCCAAGGAAAGGGCTCCTAGACAAGGATACGGGAAATGCTAAGGAAGGGGGAATAGGAATATCTCGTTTACTTAACACTTAACACTGCAGGCGTAGCTTGGAGTCTAGCTCTTCGAGACCTAGTTTGAATGTGTCCCCGCTAACCAGACAAGCTCTTACGCGAGAAAAGAAAGTGAATCTATTGATAATAGACAAAGTGTGTGTGCCCTTAAGTAAGGTGATGCACATGTATCAACATGCATCATATATGATATTTACAGGATCTGGTTCACCGAGTCCCGTTCGCCGCGTAGCGGATACAAAGTCAGCGCTAAAACTTGTTCGCCTGCTAAAAGGAAAATGAGATGAAAGAAATGGCGACAATCCGCCTTAGACTCTATCTCGTGCGTTCCTGCGCTTTGTTGAAGACAGACGGGCTGACTGGCATCGTACAATAGAGTTGGCTGACCCCGCTTTGTTAGCCGCTACTACGGGAATCCCCTTTCCTCCGTCTTAGCGGTACTCATGCATATCCACATCCAGCTTCGATTCCTAGTGGAACCTCATTCCGAGGCTGTTCTTTATCACGGCTTCTTAAACGCATGAGGCACTTCATGCCCAAGTCTGCCATGGCAAAACGAGAATCTCCCAAGAGACTAGAGGTCTCGCAGAGCCATACTCTACACCAGAACGCAAAGACATACATAAAAACCCCCTTTTCTCAGGCCTGATGCTACCGCTGCATCATCTGCCTTTCTTTCCCTGCTGCCCGGTATTCCACTATCCCAGGTCTTGCAGAACCTCGTGCGCCCTCGTGTGGAACCGGTACGAGAGGGATGGACACTTGACCTAAAGTAAAGGCACGGACCGGGCGGGTTGGAAAATGCCTGGGGTCAATTACATCTCAATTACATCGACCCTTATTCAGATAGAGTCAGCCGGCAAAGGATGCCAATCCAAATGGTCCAAAAGCTCCAGTAAGTAGATAAGATGCCCCGGAATCAACCATAGGGTCTAGCACAGCGGAGTAGAAGCCCTCTCGACTTTCAGAGTTTGATTTCTATGTGATTTGAATCTTTAATCTAGTCGGTAGCTACGCCACCTACAGAATTTAAAGAACCTAAAGTAGCACCCGCCCGGAGGGAGATGTAACGAGACCAATAGGAAGTTAGACCATCCCAAACATCATGTTATAAGACTTCGTTCCATTCGCCGCTACTAGAAACCTCGTCAATACTTCGCTGCGTAGCTACTTTGCTCATCTTCTTCGCCTATCGGCTCACCTCCTTCGGCCCCTTCGATTGAACTGATATCCACATCACCCTTGACTGGTTCTTTTTGAGGATCCATGTAATTGAGAAAGATATATTGCAGATTGAGTGGAGAGAGCAACGGCCAAAAAGGGGAGACGGAGGCATCACTGATCTTTGGCGGAGGTAGCTATCTATCTTTCATGAGGTTCCTAGTCGGCGGACCAAACCAGTCCCCACACGCCCGATCACGAACACAGGTACGAGGGCACTCTTAAGTGGAATGGTGTGTTCAGTTGTCTCATATCTATCGAGAAGGGAATGTCTCGGCCGATACGTTAGCTTCGCTAGCTGTTGAGATCCCTGTTGGTTATCAGCGTCTGCTTAACCCGCCGAGTTAAATTGGACATTGGCTGGAACATGATATCGTAGGCGTGGCCTACCCACGTCGTGTGCCGATTTAGGATCCGTTAGGCTTCGGCCTCTTTTCTTGTACCAAAAAAAAAAAAAAAAGATGTGAGAGCTTGATAGACCTAAGGGGTCTCGTCACAATGATGAGATTGATTTGAAAGCAAGAGTCATTCCTTTCGAGAAAATGCCGATCACGCCTCTGCTCTGCTTTCGCTCCCTTCCGAAGGAGCTCTTTGACTTCACTGCGCTTCCACTCGTTTGTATGGTCGAGTATCTTCAAACCTGATTTTCGGGGAACTTTCTCAACTTTAGTTCGTCAATATAAACCGGATATTGTAGCAATGTTTGAACCACGAATTAGTGGGGCACATGCGGACAATTTCGTGAGGTATAGTCAATTTGAGAATTCGTTTCGGATCGAAGCACGGGGGTTCTCCGGAGGTATTTGGCTTCTGTGGAAAGAAGAAGTGAGTATTGAAGTGTTGTTCTATTCTAGACAATTGGTCCACGTCCGGGCAAGCAAGCATGGCGAGGAGAGCAAAGTGAGACTTGACGTTGCCAGGATAGATGTAATTTAGAAGCGAAGTTCAGTCAAGATTTGGAAGGACCCTTTTCCAATGGCTTGATTTGATAGGGGAAACCCTTAAACTTCTGGCTGGTTAGGAACCTTATGTTGACGGAGGCTCGACGAAGTTGAGATCGATCGCTATTGCTGACACGCGCTAATGTGGTGTGGTCTATATTGACGTCGTCTTAGCTCCACTTCAGAAATCTAGGGCTTGTTGATTTGCTATCTTTTTTCTAGTGATGATCAAACCAGCCAGACTTCCCCTCGGACCCTTTCCTATTTTAATAATAAGGTAAGCTACCTAGGCCTTCGTTCTCAAATCCAACTCTATTATTCGCTTGGAGCTTAACTACTACAAAAAAAGGGATAGGAAGACGCATCAACTATCGAATCTTATCTCTTTTTCGGGAGGGGAGGTCTACTGGATCTATCTCCATAGCCACAAGACGAAAACGCAGGGTGGCCTTGGCGAATAGAAGTAGACGAATACGATTTATATCACTCCGGCAGTGAGCGTGGAAAATTGAATCAACGGTTTTAGGCTCTATTCCAATTCTCCGAGCCTTTTCTTCCTAAACCTCTTCCTTGTCTCGAGCTCCGAAATGCGTTTCCGGCATCTCTCCTTTTAGTCTTTGAGAAAAAGTATTGGCGTTTTCTTTGACAACATGTCCTGTAGGTTCACATGGGTAACCAAAGACAAATACACCCGTACAATCCTGGCTTTAAATTTAAATAAGTAAATGAAGTAATTAATAACTATAAGTCAAAGTTTGCTTAACTTTAACGGGTTTTTTGAGGAGTCTCTGAGTGATGGATCAAAACTCATCCAAAGATGCCATAAATCAGCCGTTAGATAGACACCGGCATAATCTCATAGTTAAAAGCTCCTTCTTTCTTTTTGTTTCCTTCCTCTCCGCTTCTTTTTTATGACTTCACTTCGCTTCGAAAAGTTTGTATGATCAATTCCACTGTTTTCATTTCATATAGCTGAGAAAGATGACTTTCATAATTCCCTTCGTTTTTTATGACTTCACTGCGCTGCGCTTCGTTCGTTTCATTTCAATTGCGAAAGTTGCATCTCATATAGCTGCAAAAAGTGGAATTGGGCGCTAGAGGCGATGTTTACCCGTCCCGTCCACTTGGAAGGCTTTAGGAAGACCCAACAAACGAAGCGAAGTGAAGTCAGAAGTATTGGCGAAGTTCAGTCATAGAAGAGAGGAGAGATGCAATTGACTCGGCTAGGATTAATAATGCAGAATTGACAAGCGGATGAGTTTTCTAGTTGGCTATGTTGATATAGCTTAGATAAGGAAAATCTACGAGAAGAGAGCCATTCTCACCAATTGCAATTAAGTCATTCGAACCTACGCATGCCAGTACCAAACCGAAGTTCATAACCATACTGATCTCGGGAAAGAGTATCCTACGATCCTTTCAAGAGTCAAAGGATAAGCGTAAACGGATCTGCACCAGTACAGATTCGAATTAGTATCTTAGCTAATCCCCTCGCTTTCTCTCTATTCTCCCCGTATGTACGCAATAACCTTCCTTTGGCTCCTCTATGTTTATGGAAGGTAATCTTCCACGAACTACTGTATTATTATCTTTTTACTTATTCTGATGCCTTCGCGGCCCCTCCAAGGCATTGTTAACGCACTGGCTCTATTTCTACAAGACTATCTTACTAATCTTGGGGCCGAACTTCACTTCCCGATGGATACACGTGGGAGAAGTTAGTGTACGAGCTTTCCCAGGGTTCCAGCGATAAAAAATATCTGCTTGATATCCTTGCAGATATAATAAGGAAAGGGACCAGAAAAGCTTTGCTTTTGCTGGATTACCACCGCCGCAGACCCAGGCCCTAAGACCCCGTATATTTCTCATTCACAAATCCATCTTTCTTTATGCTGCTAACTGTCCTATTTCTACTTTTGTCAATCGTATTGACCATGGAAAGTGGTCGGCTGCGCATAACTAAAGAATCTTCCTCTTCCCAAGATCCAAGAAAGGATCTGGGGGCTTTTGGAGGATCTGATCTGATGATGAAGGAGATCCGAATAAAAGGAAAAGGCGTCCCATTAGAATGGTTTTTCTAAGGGAGTCTCATTCCTTCTATCCATGATAAAGGAAATATTACAGTCCACTGGAGATCCAGATCACCTACTTCAGAGCGATACCCGGATTTTTAACCGAGCTATACGAGATTGAACAGAGATATGGCCATACTCGTAATACTTGGAGACGCATCGGGCACCTCTTATCTTATTAGTGGCAGGCGAAATGGGTCACCGAAGCTCTTTTTATCAATCAGTCTTGGTAAGGCCAATGGATGAGGTTGAATGGCACGATCCCTTTACTCTACTACTCCACTTATGAGGAGAAGGTTCCTAGCTTCTTCCTATTCTATTATGATAGACACGGAACACTTGCCCAATCTGGGTCCGACGAAATCATCAATTCCTTTTCTGAATGTTGAGGACCTTTACTTTAGCCCTTTAGGTACCTGAAAGAACTTTGGTCGGCAAACGGTCAGAGTACGGGGGCTCGCACCACGAAAGGATCTCCGGAATTACGGAAACCAATTCAGCAAATATAGTTTTCCGGTTGTTCCAGTAGCTAAACCTCAGACAGGAGCACAACCACTGCCTTAGTGCCGACCTGGCGCAGAGCCCCGTGGGGCGAGACTTCCCGCGTACTACATCAGTTATAAGCGATGTTGATGATCACTCATCAGTTGCAGCTGCTGGAGCTCCTTTCCCGGGACTTCCTCCAAATCTCTCGACCTTTGACCAACTGTCGTTTAGCAGGCGAAGTAAGGACAAAAGTGGGCAGTTTCTCATAAGTTCTGGTTCTTTGGAAGGATTGGTCAACCAGTTCCTAATTCTGGGCTGCGAAGGCAAAGGTCAAATAAATCTGTCAGCAGCTTGGGGAAAAGTGGCTTCTAACTAAGTCGCGCTTTCAAGGAAGCTCAATTTTCATCTTCCAGATAGGGACTATAGTAGCCAAAGGTTTTGATCCTGGCTCAACCGCTAAATAGTAGCTTCTGGGCTTGGCCTAAGAATTCCTATCATTCGACCTGTGCATCCGATTCTTTCTTTTTTCCCTAGAGTCAGAGGCCTACGAGTGCCGGTATCACCGGTGCCTTGCCACTTGGCATCTGAAAGAATGGCCCTTAGGAATGCTCTTGCCCAAGTCAGCTCATTAGCTCCGGGAGTCGTATTTCCGTCGGCCACTTTTACGATCTCGAAGTGGTGGAAACTCCCAAGAAGGGCGGTGCCGATAGAGCAGCTAACCCAGCGGAAGGGGTATTCCATTCTCTTTCTGACATTTTCGAAACATTGGATCTGGAAGTCGGGCTTTCATGCCCGAGAAGGGCCCTTATGATCGGCGAAAGCGACAAAAGGGCAACTACTTATTTCGAGAGGTCTGCTTCACGTTTAGNACCTTGGACCGATGGGCTTTCCCCATATCTGTGGACTCTTACTCCAGAACTCCTTACTGGAAGATTTGATCTTCCCTAAAGGGCCCGGCTTTTTGGACCGATCTATCGACTACTTTTGTCGCGCTTTCCGCTCAGAACTCACCGCTCCTTCCTTTAGCAGGACAATCGCCGCTACTCTCACAGCTATACTACTACTCCCGATGTTAACTCTACCGATCCACCGCTTGAACCTCTGCCCTTCTCTTTTAGAACTCCTGTAGAGGGCAAATCGCCACCGCTAACCTGACCGACAACTCGACCTTGAGACCTGAGCCTGCTCTTCGAGCTAAACCACTTTTGGCCCTTTCTTTAGAGTTCCTTTGCTTGCTAGGACATGACTTGCATTGCTTTCCCAACGGCTAAAGAATACGAGCTCCTAACCCGTGAGCATTGGCATTCATCTTCGATTCCTCTGTTTAAGACGATAAGAGGAGGTGTTGATAGACCAACGGCTAAAGAATACATTCCAGGGAATTCTATTATAGAGATAACATCCATTTTATTAAGGGATTGCTAACAGCTCATCTTAACGCAAGGATTGTAAGACATCATTATGAGAACTATGGTAAAGACATACATTGACTAGACCTACGGCTAAATCTAACGTAAGAGCTTTTTCAAAGAAAAAGCGATAGCTAGAGCGAGCGGAATACTTGAAGCGAGTATATAAAGAACTAGAGTAGAAAAAGCGACTAGTTGGAGAGAGGGGAAGAGCTTCACTCAATCTCTGCCTTTGCATCTTTCTTCTCTGAGCCCGGTATCAAAATGCTTGACTATCTCCCCGAATGAGACAGATTTCCTCTCTCTGCTCTGGAATCAGGAAGGAGAATGCCACTATGGGAAAATAGAATGAGCATGCGTCGGCGGGTCACTCTTTTAATAATCTTTCTAAAGTCAAGTCTTTTCGAACTTGATTGAATTCCGGGCAGGTCAATCGGAGATACACTAAAAAGAAATGAGCTAGATTCGCTACCGGTTAAGGAAAAGAAGAATGATGAGATCGGGTAGCCCGCTTGATTTAGTACTTTGGTCAGACTAGGTTTTGTTTTGGACTTTCTAACTGAACAATTTCCTAAGGCGCCCCCCCAACAAGAGTATAGGCGTCTAAGGGTTCTCAACAAGCGGTCAAGTTGGTAGGCGAAGATCGGCTATAATAGATAAAAGCTCGTTTCTTCTATTCATTCATTATACTATATTACTATATTCGATTCAAAGCCTACTCTTGCATCTTCCGTTCGTGCATCTGCTGCTTCCTTATCTTTTTCTATTATGCGGAATGAATAAAAAAACTGAAAGAAGATAAAGTGCCATAGTGAGAATGAGAACGGCTATGTAGCCATGGTGACTCAAGTCAAAGTACTAGGAATAGCACTATACGGATTGCTGACACTTGTTTCTTGACCAAATCACAACAAACAAGAAATACTAGAAGTCACATGGGATTTCTCTAACTAAAGCCAAGCTAAGCTAACGAGAGGGTCCTTTCCTTTGACAGCCACTTAGAATGACCTTCGGAGATCTTAAGGACTCACAAAGAAAGCCAGTGCCGTTTCCAACTCCACAAGTTCTTTTGCTTTGGCGTCTGGCCTCTCCCATTAGTACTATAAGGCGAGGAGTAAGGTGTCTATGCCAGTACCCACATTCCGGGTATCTCATATCGATTGGAGTTTTAAAGAAGTCAAGTAGGCTGGATTCGGGTATGGTTTTTAGGATCGCCCTTTACTTGTATTGTAAGTTGAGCTGAGGTGTCTCCAACCCGCTTCGTTGAGCTATGCTATAAATAATATAGGCTAAAGCCTCCATTTTTTTATGTCTAAAAGGCATAATCCTACAGGGCCGGTTGCCGGAGCTTCTTTGTTGAAGTCACTCAGCGTCCTAGCTTAAGTGCGCTGTTAGGTTCTCTCTTGAAGTGAGTTTTGCTTTCGCTAATAATGAGATAAGGTAGTTGATTACTTGCTGTTGTTAGGCGGTGAGCCAACCAGGTATAGTGATTTGATTCCTCTAATCTAACTCACTTTCATTGAATATCTTTCTCAAATTCGTGGGCGCGGCGGCTCAACTCATAGTTCCAAGAAATCACTCTGGCAAGATAGCCCAACCGGCCACTATCTTTAATCTTAAGTAAAGTGAAGTCAAATCAATGAAGACCCAACCTCTTTGCTTTTTTTTGAAGCTTTGCCAGGCTACTTCTTGGGGTTTACCATTCGACTAAAGAAACCGGACATTCGAATCCTTGCTTTTACTCCTGATCAACTAGTCCTGGCAAAGGTGCCTTGCTTTATAGTCTGGTGCTGCTATTTCACTTGAAGGAGCAAATATGATGTTTAACGCTGCTACTACTTCAGCCTAGGTTCAAACAATTCCCAAAACTGGAGGAGAGTAGTATTTTGTTGCAAGGTTGGCCCTCTTTGCTGTTTATATTATAGCTGCAAAGGTTAAAACTAGTCCTCTTTACCCTCGAAACTCAAAACAAGTTAAACTCAAATTTATACGAATTCCATGTGTTAAGCACGTAACTATGCTAACCTCGAAATCGTCCAATCATGCCAAAAATACGGGTTTACACCGCCCAAAAAGACCTTTTCGCTAAAATAAAAATTATCTTAAGAAAATCGAAGTCACTCTTTTTAGGGTCAGTTTTCATCGGCAAAGTAGTCCAAGATCAGCTTCAAGGACCGGTGGATTTCCACCAATGCTCCGAGGTAAAAGCAACGGCTGAACCGGGTGTGTCGTGCTAGCATATTAGTAGTTAGTTAGTAGTTAGTCGTCGGTTGGGGATAGTATCCAGGGAAGGTGCTCAGTTTTTGATCCAATTGAGGAAAGGGCTGAGATTAATTCATACCATAGTTTAAAGACCGGAGGACCGGGCTGGGATTAGTCTCCATAGTTATTGGGCGAACATCGGCTGAGAGAGTTTCTCTTTTGGCTTTGGCTAAAGCCCATATTTATTCCTTTGTTTATGATCAGAAACTGTATGAGGGAAAGACTAGTAGAGTGCTTTCCAGCCGCCAGGGGGCCAGCGAGTCGTTGGATACTTTCCACTCCTGCCAAGCCAATAAGAGCTTCGGTACGTTGAACAATAATAACAGAATCTGCTAAACTAAAATAGAAGTACAGCCAAAATTGTCGATTTTATGATTCACTTGCCCTCTCCTAAGGAGCTAAATCTACGATATAGGCCTTTCGTATCATAAACTAATGGGATCTTTCCGTTGGATTCACTGCCCAGAAGGCTGCCCCCTGGAGTGTCTTTACTTCAATCCTTGGACAAATACACCCGGCTCACTTATAGATTATAGATAAGGATAGTTTCGGTAATATTTGACATCTTGATAAAGTGCCATTTAAGCCGCCTTGGATCCTCGCGGGGTATCTACCAGAGGAAAGGGAGTAGTTCCAGCTCTGAAGTGAAGTCTGAGACCTCCTCTTTTGTCTTTCGCTTGAAGTTTCCCCAACAAGCAACGGATTGAGCAACTAGCGCGAAAGCCGTTGCGCTAACGCGCATCCGTTTTCTTGCTGGTCCGAAACTAGAATGGCTGGGATGGAAAGCGATGGAAAGAAGTACCGAGGGTCGGAAGAAGGCTTGGGATCGGGTATTACCGAGCTTATTACCGAGCTAAGCCCTCAAGTCGGGGCAAGCAGTTCTTCCACCATGTCTGGTTTGGGAGTAGAGTCAAAGGGTAGGGATCTTCCCACGGGTCTTGCTCATCAGGTTGAGGAATGAAAGCAGGGTTTCAGAGTACAAGAGATGGAAAGCGGCTTCGGATCTTCCTCTACCCTTTTCTGGTATTGCCAGTCTTGGCCTTCGAAGGCAAGAGCCTTTGGCAGCCCCCTGGATCTCCTGGTTTTGGTTTGCGAGCATAAACAGATGCAAGGGGTCTTACCGAGGTATGCGTCAGGTCGTGGAATGAAGAGCTGGGTTTGGTCGGTTGAAGGCGAGGAATCGGGTCTTTTCTCGGTCTTACCTGTCGGGTTGCGAAACATGGCTAAGCCCCATTTGGGGGATGGAATTTACCAGGGGTCGTCAACAAGCAAATAAAGAGGGAAAGCAGGAGATAGGTCTGCCGTAAAGTAACCCTTCATATTTCTATTTGCAGTTCCCTTTAGGAGTCTGGTTTACCGGTAAAAGGGTCAGAAGCGGCAGCAAGTCAAGAGGGAAAAGGGGATTACCGGTCAATAAATAAGTAGCTTCAAGCAGGTTGAGCGGCCGCGTATCAGTTCGTAGAAAGAAGATAAAAAGACGGGTGGGCTATGGTAGAACGAGAGGTAAGGGGCGGGAAGGGATCAAAAGCAACGAGCCAAACACAAGCCAAACCAACATCTCCTCTCTTTTGAACAAAGAGAGACTCTTTCTACCCGGATTCTTTATCTCCTGAAGCAGCTTGCCCCGAAGCCACAACATTTCCATCCACATAGGGATAAGCAGACGCAGGCGCATTCGCTTCATACTCGTTTCGTATACTCCACTCGCTCCCTCATCCTCAAAATAGAATCAAAAGTCTCCTAATCCGCCAGGGTGGTGAGGTGTACTTTTCTATTGGAAGATAAATTATTCAATTCAATATGCTGTTCTCTCCGGCTGTACCATTATCAAGCACAGGACAAGCTGTAGTTTTTCTAGGAAGCTGGGGCTAGCTAGCAAGATCAGCAAGACATAAAGATTATAGATTTCTTCCCGAAAGGTCAGTACAGTAATTTCCCATGCGTAACATGCATAACCAGTAGTTTCCATCCATAAGCTGTGGAAAACTCTTGCTAAGGCCTTTAAAAAGTGTCCACCCCATATGTCTTTTGTATTGGCATTGTATTAGTACTAACTAGTTTAAGTACTAGCTCCGAGGAATGAAATTAGCTCGACTGAATGGAGAGGTTTGAAGACGGTGCATGGGGGAGAGAAAGATGTTGCTCTCATACCAGATGCTTTGAGCAAACTGGCCTATCTCTCGGCAGGATGGTGTGCCCAAACTGTCATTTCATTCGAGGCGGGATCGGAGGACGAAGTCTCGAGCATCNGGTACTCACAGCCTTTAGGTAATCGTCAGATTTCCAAAGCCGGCAGGCCTTCACGCCCCGACCCTCAGATGCGGGGTTCACTGAGCAAAGGAGTCGGCAGATCTTACATTTTTTTAGACTCCACCTTCGCGAAAGTACTAAAGAGAAGGCTAACAGTCTTTAGCGCAGCTTTTTAGGTATTTCCCAACTCCAAGGCTTTGTCGAACCCTCTTACGTTAACCTACCTTCTTGCCAGCGAAATCCCATTTTTTTGAGGTCGCACATTCAATGACTGCTGACGAGCCGACTTATTCGGGCATTTCCAACGCTGTGAATAGAAGGAGATTTTTACCCCCATATCTGTCTGTTTACCAAGCAAAGCCGGTGGCTGCTGCTCTACTATATAAGTACCGTGCGTGAACAAAGAATCTCGCTACGTGTCTATCATGGCTACCATGCTCTTACGCTTAAAGCATGCAGTGACTGCTTGTCCCTCAGATTGGAGATCTCGGAGCGGGCAGACCCTCTATCTCACACCTGTCCCAAGTCCTGCTTTCTTTGAGCCAAGCTTTCCGGCTAAGTCGAATAGCTTTTGCACCTATCCCATCCCTGTCAGTCGAGTGGTTTAGTATTGCTGTAAGCCCTTCCCTTGACAGGAAGTTGCTTTTCCGGTTGCTTGAATTTCCGATCCCGGTATTCGATCTAAGTGAAGTTTCCCTTTCCTCTGCGCGGATGAGGGACTTGTTGAAGAAGCTTTCCTTGATTCTCTCGGAACTACTTCTTTCAGTCTAGCATTTTCGCCCCTTGCCTCAAAGTATTAGTCCAAAAGCATGAGTTCTACCCTTTTGGAGTCCGGGATCAAAGGAGATGAGGGCAAGAAGGGAACTCAACACGGGCCGTTCTCAGAGCTTTGACTAGCAGTCATGGTAGACGAGAAGAAAGGAACTGACCTACTTCAACTGCACTGTGGGAAAGACATACTCTATTCCTGTAGCCAGGTCGGGTTACGGGTTCATATCCGGGTTAGGCAAGGAAGAAGAGCGGCTGAAAGCCAATCGAAAACCGACATAGAATGCAATTGATGGTTCTTAACCCAGCCCGACTGTTCAAATGTTTCAATCTATCTCCTCCCAATCAATAAATGAATCATGCCTTACCGGCCCAATCCTTTATGTCATGAATCATAAGCATGCCCAGGAGCTGGTAATTTTACCTGATTACTTCTCATCCATCTACCCAGTAGGGAAGCATGGAAAATCATGCTCCAACTAGGATACCAGCCTAGGCGCGTTAAAGCGGCAGAGAAAGCCAGCGTCTTTTCAAAAACCAATCAAACCGATGCTGACCGTAGGATCAATCAGGTGGACTAGGTCTTTCTGAAGAAGAAAGGATAGAACTTAGCTTTGGGAAAGTTCTTACAGGATCAGTAAAGCCAAAGACGGCCTCGAAGATCATCTGGTTCCAACCCTACTTTCTTCTATGTAAATAGGTTTTGTACTTATGCATGTTGGGAATTCTAATAGACAGATAGTATACATATTCTATTCTTGATTGGAGAAGCGTAGCAGCATATCAATCAACTATCTTTTCATATCGTTCTGTTACGGCCGAGTCATGAAAGTAAGAATCGGAGCTCAAGGCCATAGAGCTTTCCCTATTAGACGACAGTCTACTCTATCAGGGATCGGAACTATGCTGTTATTCTAACAGATGAAGAAGTGGTCAGAACTCCCCAGCCCCCGTTGTCGATCCGCCAGCGGGTGATACGCGAACGAGACTGTCAGTGAACCAACCAAGTCAATCCCTTTCCGCTTTGAACTCTGGTTATTTCTTTCTTTTTAGTCCTTTCCATCCTCTATTTGATGTCTAATGCATTCATGAGCCGGCTCTCTAACTGATAGGAACCTTTTCTAAACCCCCAAAAAAAAGAAAAAAAAGGGCGGCTCCTCCGGATATACATTATGGATAGGATACCTTTATCTAAAAAGATAAGGACTGACGCTTCGTCAAATGGGTAGGATCGCGTATCAGTAGTATATGTCCTGATCTCTGTTGGTGATCCGCAAGCGGATCTTCCCAGCTATTCCGTCTTTCTCTTTCTTCGAGTCACCTTATGTTATAAGTGTTATGGCCGCACCTCTTGGCATAAAGTCCATCTCCGGATAAGAAAAAGGGTGCAGACCAGGTGACGGGAGCCCCGATCGGGAATTACGTAAAAAGAAGCTAAAGCAACTTCATAGACAGATTCAAGAGCTACCCATTTGACTGGGATTTCGTTAGAATCGTCGCTGCATTGTCGACTGATCACTCTAGCGGGAGAATAGTTCAGTGGAAAGACTCTCGGACTACGACCAGTGGCTCTCCTGTTCAGGTAGATATCAGAGATATTTCAGGTAAATAGGCGCAAGTAGCGACCTCTCTTAAGCAGCTCAATCATCGGCTCAGTCAAGGATCAAAGAACAAGGAGTTGGAGAGACTCTCATTGAATGGATTCTTGATCAACCTCTGCCCCCTATATTACATAAACCAAACAAGAAAGAGGGGAAGGAGCCAATCTCAGAAGAGAAAAAATTCTAAAATTAGTGCGCAAAAGACTACTACTTTGAAGAAAGGTTTTTCCAGAACAGGGGTCTTCAACTAATAGAACAGCGGGGAACCTCTATGTCTGGCCAACGAGAAAGCCTTTCTTTGTTTCCAGGCACTATCAGCCTTGAGTAGCTAGGTTCAGCAGCGTTCCCGATTCCGAGTTGAATAGGTGAAAGGGGGACATTCGATTGACAGGAGCTCTTCTAGACGCAATGGATTCGGTATAGCATTCTCTTTCATAAAAAAACTGGGATTCCCTACGTTTTGGTCACGGGGAAAGAGCTATACTTTCATTGATAGCATGAAAGGGGTTGGGTGATCCTTGATTATATATCACATTCTTCCCCTTAACCGATATGACATCAATGAACTCACAGGAAACCATTTCTCTTCGGAGAATCATGGGCGAAGCGCTTAGTTGACAAAATCAGGGTCAGTGACTCCGAGCTCAGTTGCGAGGTACGGGTCTTTCCAATATCGAGCATCGGGTACTCACCAGACCTTCATCAAGCTGTCAGCTAGGAATTGCGTGCGTATAGTAAGATGGGCAGGCTTAGAAGGCTTCTCCAAATCCCGCGAAGCACCCGGAATCAATCAAACGAGCCACAGACGCCAAAGGCTCTTTCAAAAGTAAAACGGACTAAAGAATAAGAGTTACGGGCAAGGAAGATTATCTCTAGATAGCTATCCAACTTCCTCCAGAAATTTTACGTTAGATCCGGCTCTATGGTGCTTCTCAACGAGTCCATCCGAACTACTTCTGATAGAGGATGAAATAAGGAGAATCTCTGAACCTCGGTTCAGAGGACCAAAGATAAGGGATCTAAGGGTCCCCAAACCAGAGGGATATGGAACTACCTATGTTCCATTGTACACTGCTAGCATAGAGTCCCCTGCCCATGCTTTTCCAGATGTGAGAACCATTTCTAAAAGAGGTTGCAACCCTATTCCTATTCAGGTATTTAGCTTTAATGACTCTAGAGAAGAGTTTCTCACTATTTTCAGCAACAAACAGACCAGTTGAGCTTAGCTAAAGACCAAGTTTTACGAATACCCAGTCCTCCACAATCTTTGGGAACCTCTTCCCACTTAATAGGATGCAGACCCTTTCTATCAGAGCCATGACCCCAAAGGAAATACCCTAGAGATGCGATCAATCTTTCTACAGATAGATTTTGAGCTTAAACCACTGAAATGACACGTTCCGATTCAGTCTGTTAGAGCGGTCAAGCGGGAGGAGATATTGTTACTAGACGGGCTAGACAGACTGGCAGATGGAGTTATCTATTTAACTGAACTGCATCTCGTGATAACCCAATCAAGCAATCCCAGCAAGGTTGTAGAGGGAAAGGAAGTTCTTATAGCTAGAAGGGAAAGAAACTGCCTGAAAGGCATAGGCTGGCTGCAGAGCTTAATCCCAGATATAAATGCTACGATTCACTCTTACGTGGAAGAGTAGAAAGCAGATAGTCCTATTCCCTATTCCTATCCATAAAAAAAGACTTCCCTGCGGGAAAAGACAATCGAATCAGATCGATAGCAGATCTAGGAATAGAAGTGGAGGCTGCTATTAGAGCTCTTTCCGTAAGACCGGATGTAGTCATCTTTTCGAAGGACTTGAAGCCGAACCCAACCATTAAGATAAGATGTCCTCTCTTGGCTAGTGAGAAAGAAAGTGTGACGCGTCTCTGCTAGACCGGTCTAGTAGAAGTGGTTCGTCTTCGTCCACTCAGGGGGGTGCGGACACATCAATAGCAGCATCCCTTTTCTGCTTTCTGGCGACTAGCTATTTTCTTCCTAGAGAAAGCTTCATAGCTATCCTCTTATGACTACTCTCACCTATGTGCATGCCCTCTTTATTGAGACCTTTCTTCAACACCGATATAGGCAAAGAGAAGGGGCAAGATATTCAACGAAAGAGAAGAGAGAGAAGACCTCTTTCCAGAGCTTGTAAAGTTAGAGTTCTAGCTAAGGTGTCAACGGTTGGGGCCACCCCCGGGATTTTCCGTCATCAAGAGTTGAGTTCGTTGAAGACCGATGCGAGGAGAGAGTAAGAGGCGATAGAGCTCGTACGATAAGGCTAGCTTCTGCTCTTGCGAGTGGGCGATCTTTCATGTACTGTAGTTGTGGTCGTGACCAAGCCAGCAAGTCAAGAGTAAGGTATTTACAGTCCTTCGCCGAGATAACCAATCAAGTCGGGAAATACTAACATCGGTGCGGAGTAGAAGAGAAGGAATTCCAAAGCCATCGGACAAAGGTTGAGTTGGTTTATGAAAGTGATGTTACAAAGCGCAGATACCAATCCCCGGTCGTCCTGAGAGTTGGTTGTGAAAAGGCGAGGTTTCTGGCGTTCAGAGAAGTGCTGCTAAACGGGCGAAGCCTTCAGTCCTGTGAGTTTCCGGTTGTTGAGCAATTCCCTTTCAGTCCTGTCTGTAAAACCAGCGCTGCTAACCGAGATGTCTCGGATCAGTAGACGAAGTCCAAAGAAGGCATCGTAAGGTAGAATCGCACGTGAGCGGTCTAGAACTCTAGTTTTGGATATATCACATCGATGGGTCGAAATCCAGAGAAGGATAAGATCTTTAGTTTAGTGCTACCCCCGCCAGTTATGTATTCGACCATTTTCCTGAGGTCATTTCATACGCAAGGGAACGCCGGTTTCTCATATATCACTTTCAAGACCCTAGTTTAAGGGGATTGTGCCCAGCTTCTGGGGCCCTGCTAGCTCTGAGGAGATACCTCGGTTGGGGTGAGGAAAGACAGAGTGAAAGAGCAAATCCAGAGCATATATGAGTCGGGAATCAAAAGGAAAGGGCTTCGGTTTACACTCCTGCTAGTGATAGCGCATATAGATTAGTGCTAAGAGTGAAAGGAACTGGCTACACAACTCGAACTGCGGAACACTACTGAATTCCCTGATCTCGCCGAAGTATATGATTCGGAGAGTGACTTTTCCTCCTAGATAAAGGTAAATTCGCTCTTTCTCTCTTGTAAAACAAATAGACGTTAGACTGAAGCAAGCATTTCTATTTATATATGAGTCGCATTCCCAAAGCTATCTGAATCTCCAGCTAGTACAAATCTAGGATCAAAAGGCGCTACACCACTCGGATAGTGGTACACAAATGCATTCACCGATCTCGATAAAGAACATGTTTCGCAGAGGGACTTTTGCTCTTATATAAAAGGAGATTCTAAATCTGTCTCTGTTAGAAGAACAAAAGCAATTCCAGATTAGGACCGAGAAAGCGCTCGGGATTCGGGGTTAGACCAATCTGTTTAGGAAGCTAGAGTGGAAACCCTTCCGAAAGTGCATTCTAAAATGGCATATTGAAATACCCGAGTTGGGTAGGAATTTGCTGCTGGGAATGGAGCTGGACTAGAAAGTCCTGTACCACTAATGGTGACAGAAGATCGGGTCAAATTGAATAGTCTATATTTTCTATAGGTGGAAAAACACCCCATCGATCCTGGATTTCAAAACTAGTGTTTCAGATTTGGACGATGGATCACAAGCAAAGGGGACAGAACGTCGGTTTCCGATATATGACTTCGAGGGGTTGGGTCAGGAGTACCTGTTTCTGACTTATCCAGTTTGGGAGTCGGAATAGCTGGGTAGCTGGGGTGTTTGCACTACATCATGCCAGGGAAGGCACCTTGCCAATCCGTAAGGTCTAATCGTACACAAGGGAGTCCAAACGCGCGTTTTTTATATATGTGATCGAGGGGTGCTTTCCGAGATGGGGTTTTCTCAAACTGGGTTTCGAAGAAGTGTGTTTCAAAACAAAAGTTTATTCCAAAGATTCTTTTCTTACGAGCGTTGCGATCAAACAAAGCTGGGGTTGAACGCGTATGAGTATGCTGTTGGTCAAACAATAACCAGGCATGTCGAAAGAAGGCGAAGAGAAAGGAACTCAACTCCAATGCCACGGGTTCAGATCCAATAACAAATCGAGCTCTGAAACTGCTAAAGCCAATCCGAGCAGTGTTAGAGCCCTTTCAGTCAATCCATACTTTGGAATCTCGCTTAGAAGACAGCTACTCCTCATCTCCACGACCAAAAGGAATGAATCTTAGAATGGAAGAGATACACGGGTTAAACCCCTGTTAGGCGAGAAATATCTCCTCATATCGATTGATAGCAAGGGAGATCAGCAAAGAATGGAAGATCGGTAAACAACGTATCATATCGATCGAAGAAGAAAAGCTCAGGACACAAAGCCAATGCTTACACGCGTACCTGTATCCATATCCATATTCGCTATTTCTCTTTGATCTTGAAAGACTGGAGTGTTTGATTAGAGAGTTGGTCGTTATCTCTTATCTTCGAACCTGAGCTTGCTTACCTTACTACCGGGACTAGTACCAGAGGAAGTCTTCTTCAACGACTGCTGATATCGATCTCGACCACTCGTTACATATGTTCTGATCCCAGTACCTGAGACCGGCCTGTTCACTGATCCCATTACTAATAACGGGACTGGTTCCTGAGACCTAAACCAGAGACCTTCAGCCTGCAAGAGCTACTCCTAAAAGACCTCAATTACATCGACCCTTACCGAGGAACTGAGCCTGCCCAACTACTATACTACTACTAGTAAGACTGGGATAGTCCCTTAACAGAGACCTAAACTACTGTACCCGAACCTGACCTACTTATCAAGGACTTGAGCCTGCCGCTAAACGCAAGGGAGATAACAAAGGAAAGGGCTAATCCGAGAAAATGACGAAGACCAACTCCCACCTATTTATTCCGATATCGGACAGGAAGACAAGCTCCCCGATAATCCGATTACCGTTATTTAGCCTTCGGTGCTGGAATGATGGTCTTTTGCCAGTCCTTTAGAAAGGGGTCTAGCTCCCACGGGTTAGAACAACGAAGAGCAGCTCCCAGTAAGGGAGTATATAATGAGCCTGTTTATTAGTGTCAATTTTGTTCCATCTAAGGCCCCTCTATTTCGCCATTCGTGAGGTACGATCACAAGCAACGGGTTGCAAACGTAGGTGATTTGAACTAACCTAACGAATGGGCAAGGTGCCTCAAATGGACCAAACAAGTGATACCGCTAGACTCAGCCTCTTAACGGGAATCCATACTCTTAACCTTACGATATTGACGACGTGTAAGAAAGGTGACTGGCTCTTTCTGCCCATTTTACCCTGGAGATGGTAGCAAAACTCGGACTTCCGCAGCCAGGTGTTCCATCCTCTTTCGACACTTTAGCCTAATCTGGTTGAACATAAATTCCGTCCTTTCTTCTTCCGGCACCTTATATAAACTATAAGTCAGCCGAAAAGGGCATCAAATGAAGTGCTCTGTCCACAAAGGAATCTGGTAAAGCCGATCTAGAAGGGCGTCTTCTGCCCAGCTTAACTCACGTTTCAGCGCCATCGCATCAGACATTTCCGGTCCTAAACTAACGATATCCTTAACAGGGGCAAGTCCAAAACTACTGATTTTGTTTGTACTTGCATTTATCAAATCAAGATTCTGCTCGTGTTCTTTGTTCCACAACCCTGCAGCTAATGCTGCTCCTGGTGCCGAGGTAGCCGCCTTTGAAGTACGGGGCATTCGCCTTTCTTTCTCTCTTTCGAAAGTACAAATATGAATAAACTTCTATCATACATCTCTATTCCATATTCCAAACCGATAGATATTTTAGGAATAGGACTACCCATTGGGTAGGGATTTAGAGTATAGAGCAGCGGGATCTGGATCTGGGGGAAGGTATGTACCAAAAACAGATGCCTTTCCTCTTGGCTAGGGATCTAGAAATTGAGCTATTTGCTAATTATTTTGTTATGGGTTAGTGAAAGGGCTTACGCGCTCCTCATTGTAGTTCCTTTTTTGAGCGAGGAGTGGGAAAAGGGCAGGAACTGAAACTTCCAATGGATCATCAGACGAGGACATGAACTATCGAGTCAAAGGACTAAAACCCGGGAATGCCAATACCACAAACCGAGGCTAAAAGCCTTACTTGGACTCCAGACATATCCAATAGAAA